TTTTTTAAAATAACAAAACTTAAAAGTTTTAGTTTAACCTAAAACTTTAAAGATTCTGTTGGATTCCTCGTTCTTTAACAAGAATTACGACCAGTTTGGGTTTTTTTGCGTTTCCAGAGGTCCAAATAAAGAACAAAGGAACATTTAACAGATTTTATCACCGATAAAACTCTTCGTGCTTCGGCCTCCATCCTCGACTCCTCCGGCGTCAGCCTAACTAGCCGTAGCTTAGCTAGTTAGCGTTCTGTTTGCTGTGGAAGAGAAAAGCTGGTTTAGCAGACATCAATAGAGTTGAGTCCATCAACGGATTAGCGGGCAAAATCAAAGTGTCACGGAGCCCCTTCAACGAGCCAGATTAACTAGCCATCTCTCTCTCTCTCTCTCTTTGGGGTTGTCGGTCGGTTGGTTGGTTGGGAAGCAAACAGAAAGACGTGAGCGTAGCCGCCAGCGGACGTCAGGTTATTTGATTTGAGGGGGAAAAAAACGTCCTCCGAGCTCTGAGCACAAAAAAAAGGACAGTGGAAGAAGAGAAAAGAGGCACAAATGCAGGACGGAAAGGGAAAGACGAGGCAGAGAGAACGACTTCCTGTCGGTGTGACGATGATCCTCCATTATTATGTGACGTCATATTTCTATTGTGAAACTGTTGTTGTTGTTTGTGTACGTCCTTTAACACAATAATAACTAACCCAACACTAGAGAGGCCGACATCTGTACTAAACCACTAAACACACATAATTTAACCCTTTTTTATATGACTGTTTGTTATTATTATTTCAAAGATATATTTTTTAATACATTTTTTCAATCTCTTCTGTTATCATTTACCAGACAAAAAGGCGGGAAACGTGTGAGGCCACACAAAGAGGATTAGAACTGCCCGGGATTCGCTGAGCAAGGAGCTCTGAGCCCTCCCTAACTCCTCCTTCCTCCTCCCTATCCTCCCTTCCTCCTCCTCTCTCCCTTCATCCCTCCTCCTTTCCTCCTCCCCCCCCTCGAGAGTAATTAA